CATTTTTGTTTCTCTCAAACGAAAAAACGTATAAACTTCACATTTTGCAGGACAACAAAACATTCTAATTACTACGTGGGAAAAAACTTTCAGATTTTTTCATGCATTTAAAATGCTAAAATTTATTTTTTTAATAAAAAAAATCACATTTTGTATATTTATGTTGGTCCAAAAAATCTGAAAGTTTGTTCACACAATGAAGTTGTAAAGTTTGTTTGATCTGGAAAGTTTGAAGTCCATATGTTCTTTCATTTGAGAGAAACAAAAAAGAGAAATCTGCTTGTTGCAAGTTAGTTGAAGAGTACGGATCTCAAAGCAATGTTGAAGGGCTGAAGATAAGAGGTTCCATGTAGGACGAGCTACAAAGGAACTTTATGCTCGCGTTGACGGCGGTGGCAACGCTCGGCAGAGTGGATCAACAGGGACGACCTCGACCCATGGAGAGCTGGCAAGGGTGTCGAGCTTGGGGGCACGGACTGGCGTGGGCGGTGGCGTGGCCGGCGACCACGAGATTCTGCGCAGGGCAGCGACGCGATATGTAGGTGGGGATCGTGGGTGCCTGGGTGGCTGGGTTTGACGAAGGGATCGCTTGATGAGATCGTGTGATAGTTTTGCAATCTATCACACAATTGTCACATACATATTTCGGTTTTTTTAACTGTGCCTCCACGAATCTTGCATACCGCAAACTGAAAACTGATCATTAGTGGGCATATTTCTGTGATTCCTAACGTCACTGCCAGGCCGTGTGATGTGCTAGTGCTCTATAGCACTGGCCGAGCAACATCACTCATATCTGACCATCCCCCACAAACGTGAAAAGCCCGTAAATTCAACACTACCAGGCCCGTGTAGCACCAAGGTTCGGCCCATTTGAAAGGAGCTGAAACTAAGAGCAACTAGTTGGCGAGCCCTCCTTTAAAAGCCTCCTAACAATCACTTGGGGTGGGTTGAGAGTGCGCCCGCCACGTGTCGCGCTCTGGGCGCTTTCTCCGGATCTTGTTTTTTATTTTATTTGTTCGAACACATTTTTGGTTTTTTAGATGGGTTTTTTTTACTTTTTTGGTTTTTCATCGGTCTTTTCTAGCTTTTTGACAAAAAGTTGAAAAAAAAAGTTTTTTGTGCAAAAAACCTGCTTTCCTTTTTTTTCAAGAAGCACAATTTTGTTTCTGCAAAAGGCACCTTTTTGCTTCCGCAAGAGGTACGACCGTGCCTCTCGGAAACAAAAAAAAAAGTGTTTTTCTTCTTTTTCTTTTTTTCTCTCGTGAGAGACACGGTTTTGCCTCCGCGAGACACACGGCGGTGCCTCTCGGAAAAGAGAAAAAACATGTTTTTTTTCTTTTGTGAGACGCACGGTTTTGCTTCTGCGACCATGTCTCTCGGAAACGTAGAAAAACACGTTTTCTCTTTTTCTTTTTTTCGTGGGAGGCACGGTTTTGCTTTTGCGAGAGGCACGTCCATGCTTTCGGAAACGAAAAAAACTCGTTCTATTTTTTTTCTTATTTCGTGAGAGGCATGGGTTTGTTTCCGGAAGAGGCATGGCCGTGATTCTCGAAAACGGAAAAAAAAAACTCGTTTTCTCTTTCTTTTTGTCTTTTGTTTCCGCGAGAGGCACAACCATGCCTCTCGGAAATGGCTTCCGGAAAGGGAGGAAAGTGCTCTTGGTTCGGTTTTTTCGTGAAAAAAAGGTTCATCAAAACCTATCAACATTGAATCTAGTTTTGAAGATTTCAACGCGAGAAAATTCAATGATGAAAACGGTTCAAGATTTGGACTCAGGGTTTTAGAGATAAAACGTTTTGAATAAATAGATTAAAAAAAGAAAAAACTCACAGTTACGACAAGTTGCGCGCATGCAATGCGTCATTTGTCGCAACATGAAAAGGTGGGAGTGATCTTTGAAAGAAGTATTTTTCAATTAGTGATTTTGGCTGAAAGCTAAAAAAGTTTAAATTTTGAGTTGAAAACTCTTGGCCGCCACTCTGGTCGGTGGCTAACCCACCACGGGCAAAAAAGGCATCAGGAGCATGCATGTGACACGTGGCATGCATTCATTCGTTCATTCATTCATGTATAGCACACTTTTTTTTTGCGGGAATCATGTGTAGCACACTCAGAGTCAGAGCCTCACGGTCAGAAGGGATAGGATAGGCTGCTGCTGGTGCTGCTGCGTGCACCTGACACCATTTTACTGCGTCGTCTTCCGCGAGTTTCACTGCGGCGACAGCAGGCGCCGTACTGCACTCACCGACCAACCGAGGCAAAACGCATTTACCTTGCTTAATTACTACTCTGAAAGCAAATATAATAGAGCTGAGTCAGCTGGCTATAAGAAATAAACTAGTATATTCTTGCTTAATTGGAGGAAAGAGAAGAAGAGAGAGAAGGGAAGCGGGCTCTTGGTGAAGAGCCAACTCTAGCACGTGCTCCTAGGCACTTTGTGAGAGTGAAAGGTGGGCCATATAATAAAAAAGTAGTACACTCTTCTAATCAACTATTGTACATATTGGCTATAAGATGGGCTATAGATGACATGGCAATGGCTTATAGCCAGCAGTTGGCTATACTATTAACCATGCTCTGAGTACCGTGCAGATCCAAGTTTGGACGGTGGCTTTCCGGCGCTACCTTGCTACGTGTCCAGGTCCCAACAAATGCTACTACTAGGAGTACTGTATTGCAACCATGCATGATTCGATTCTGGAGTAATTAATTTACTACTACCAGTATCTCTTTAACTGAAATCTTTATGTGTGGCTCTAGCTTAGCTTAGTTCTTGCGTGCTCAGTGCTCACAAGCATCTCCAAATTAATTAGCTTGACCAAACTAATACTACTGCAAGTCTTTTATTTACCAAAGACTAGTGTACAAGCTTCATCAGGCAGCCATGGGAATGGCATGGCGAGCTGTGAGTGTAAAGTGACGTCGCCCGAATCAAAGGTGGTGTTTTCCTGGCGTGGCAGCCGAAATGTGTTCTTACCCAACTGGTCGTTGTCTCACGGAGAACAGATTCTAACCTTTCAGTGTCACTCCTAGTCAATTACAGAGGACTTGCGCTACTAATCTTTTTTTTTTACCATCCCTCTCTCCCTCTCTCTAGAAACTGCGGCTGGGCTAATATTTTCAGACCGAAACCGGCAAAGTTATGACACAAACTATTTAAAAAAAAATCGGGTCGTCATCGACACACCTAATCGTTGCATTCTGTTCGTGCATGAGATTAATTAACTTGCAATGATTTGGGCAAAGCGGTCGTTTGAATGTGCTCCACAACTCATCCCTCATCACCATTTGTGCGTGAGCAGTGCGTGCGAGAGGAAAGAAACAAAACAAAAACAAAAACAAACAGGCGGCGCTGACACGTGAAACCATGTCCTCCAGCTACCTGTTTCCATAATACTACCTCCGTCCGGGTTTATTGGTCCCCATTATATTTCGTGCCAAATTTTGATCATAGATTAAACTAACAAAATATTCACGCATATCATCAAACATTATATTTTTAAAAACTATGTTCAAATATAAATCCAATGAAATAATTTTTCTTGACATGCATTAACATTTTGTTAGTTAAATCTTTAGTCAAAATTTGGCACAAACTATAAAGAGGACCTGTAAATCAGGACGGAGGTAGTAAACAGCAACCCGGAGTACTAAAATCACAATTGAGCTCCCCGAAACCGTCTATAAATGGCCCCTGCCTCGCCACCTTTCACACTCCCCTCACTCCTTCATTCATCACTCACTCACTCAGCTCCGCACACAAAGCTCTGAAGAGGACGAGAAGAAGTCCGATCGATCTTGCCATGGACTCCAGGGTGTCCAAGAGCCCACCTTCGTCTCCGCCCCCGGCGGCGGCGCAAGAAGACGAGGGGGACGCGGCGGCGGCGGTGCGGGTGACGAGCCGGCTGTACCTGCACAGGCCCGGGCCCGGCGCGGGGCCGCTGGAGAAGGACGCCGTGCTCCGCCGCATCCGCCACCGGAGGCGCGCCAACCGCCTCCGGGACACGCTGCGCTCCCTCCTCGTCCTGCAGCAACAGCAGCCCACCGCGCCGGAGCCGGAGGACGCGTTCACGTCTCCGTAGCCGCGGGACCTCCCCGGACCTTCTGGATCTCCTCCCTCTCCGTGGCGCACGCTCTGCCTCGTGTACCGCTGCTGCCTCGCGCACGCACGTTCGACGGTGACCACGAGCGGCTGCGAATTCCACGAGCATTCATGTGTCCCATGCTTTTCTTTATAATGTACTGTACTACTTGTGTTTGTGTATTTGTGGTAGAGTAGGAGTACTAATTCAGTGTGTAAGTCACTTAATTATTGCATGGATGCAAATGAGTAACCGAGTCTTTTTCTGTTCAAATTATTTATACCTAGGGAGTAATAATGTCAGGTGTAATGGCAAGAATAAAAATCAGCTCCCTTCTTTGTCCCAGACAAGGGCTCCATTTTTGGTTTGGATTCCATTATCCAAGTTGCAACTTGCTTAAGAAATCCTGTGGGTGGGTATAGAGACTGATTGGGAAAACCACAGCCATTAAACTAAGTTGTTTCTAGACTGTTGTTCCAATGGATACAAATCAATCTTGAGCATGTGCTGTTCAAATGCAACTTATTACTACCAAACACTGAGATGAAGAAAACAAATACAGTTCCCACGCACTGCACTTGTGGATAAGCGCTAATTGTACTGTTGCGCAAGATGATTGCAGCTGCATTTGAACAGTTGCAAGGAGAACAGAACCAAAAGGATAAAGCGTCAACCTCAGATTGTTGATGTGCAGATCAGCTAGGCAGATAGTCTCTGTAAAGGTGCCAAATAACATTATTTGTTTTTGGTATTACTATCATTGTCTGGATTCAAGACTGTTACATACGGGCACACGTGCCAACAACTTCATTTTGTGTGTAAACCTATCCTGTATAATTGGCCCTCTGAGCTCTAGAGATATTACGAGAAAGAACCTCGCAAGGACCGCGCTATAAGACTGTTTAGAGTGTAGGGTCAGACTGTATGGCTGTTAGAATCCAGTAGCCTATCTGCTTCCGAAGGCAGCATATCAGAGGACATTTCAAAATTTTGCTTGGCTGTCATCTTGTTCCACTCATTCTCGACGCGGAAAAAGACCCACTGGAACCGCCTCACCATTTCCAAAGCTGTTATCGCAAACACTGTCAGGTAGTTGTGCCGCAGATGCGCCGATAGCTTGTATGTCCATGTACATCGGAGAATGAGATTGCTACCTAACACCCAATAAAATACCTGTAGAGCAATCAGGAAAGTATTAGTTCACAAAACTAACAAGGTGTACTAGCTAAAATCATGTGCTCCCTCAATTTGAACTGCCAAAATGTCATATATTTAGGAACAGAGGGAGTAAGTGTTAAAGAGTGTATACCCAGCTACGCCCGTAAAGAAGATTGCTCCATGCATTTGGGTTTTTGAACATGAAAATCCTGGTTAAAATGCTGCAATTATAGAGGAAGTCTCATTAGCAACAATTGATACGCAAGGACAGAGTGGAAAGGAAACTTTTGTAGAGAATGGCACCTCAAATCCCAATCTCGCTTTATATCCCAGTAGAAGGAATACAATGAATTCACAACACTGGAAATAAGCCACAGGGGGCGGTAAAAGCTAATCCATACGTCGGGAAATACATGATACTTGAGAGCTGATAAAAAGATCACGGGGACTGCTGTCGAGTACTTGAGTGCTGGATTTGGTACAAAAATGTTGGTAAGTGTCCAGAAATAGGTACAAAAACATATGATCACAAGCTACAATTTGTACTATTTCTAGCATTTTAAACATGTATGTCATCTCAAAAGAAATAAAAAATTACAGCTGAAATATGGTGGTGAGTAAATACCGTTCAGAAGACAAGTTTTCTCCCTTGTATCCTTGTACTGTCGAAGACACTGGAAGAAACGACACAAATAAGGGAGTACCAGAACTAGAGGAATAGCTACAGAGTGGCTACCACAAATTGAATCTGCTTCAAACCAAGCAATTGTCGCGACCTGTAAAATTTCATAATAACAATTACTTTTTGCAGTACTTTGCAATCGTCAAGTAAACCAAGCAGTATGGATACTGCAGAAGACAATATGTGCATAGAACAAGAGAAACAAAGAGATTAACCTGACGATGGACCATGCGACAACCTGAACGTTCCAAATCTGAAAACACCTGCAACAAATACAGCAATTGAGCAACATATTAGAAAGATCAAACTGAAAATCTCCACTCAGGACAGCCTAGAAGCTAGAAACAGTTCTCTACAAAACGAGGAAATAGTATATTGCAGATGCTCACGTAGTTAGGAGATAATTTTTCTTACAGAAACTACAGTATATTACAGCTAACATGAGAACAGAAAATGATATAGTACATATTAAACAAGAAAACCATGTCATACTATCTATAGCAGTAATTAGTTAAAACAAAACAATGGACAGTAAACACTTTAAATAAATGACTGCAAACTGTCTCCAATTGTTTACAAAAAATGACAGCATACCTTTGACATGGATGTAAAAATATCCGCCATAAAGAAGTCAGGGAATGTAATTGCCTGCGGAACAAGAGTACATTAAATCAATTCAAAATGTTATTTGATCAGATTTACTGGCTCCGCAAGCAAGACAATCAGGTATATATAATAGCCACCACATACCAAAATATTTTGTTTTGTCTATAGCATAGCTAAAAGCAAAACCTATCTAACATTACTGAAATTTTTTACAACTTACTTGTAATGGAAGTGCTATACGCCACATGGTCCTCAGAAAGAAAAAGCGTGATGATAAATAAAACATATCAAAAGGAGAAAGGAGGATCATCAGAAGGATAACATACAAAAGAACCTGCAGACAGGCAGAATGATATGTCAATTCATAACCCAGCATTTAAAAAGTAATAATGAATCAGAGTAGAATAAATTGCATGATTTATTGTTTCTATAAGGGGAAGCAGGAGTAAGTGGATTGTGCATCATACAGAACTTTAGATCACTTCAGTGTTACAAAGAAACCATTCGTAACTATGTCTGCATGTACATCAATTGATGCTTAACATATAATAGTATTGTACTAAGATGGGCATTTCCACTTGTTCGATTACAGGAGAATAGGCATAACTTTAAGGTAAAAGTGGCACTTGCATTAACATTCATTGCTAGCAAAATGTATAATGAATATACTACTGTTCTGATCTTGCGACAGGATGTAAGTTTCAATTCATCAATTAACACAACAGAGCCAGAGATACACAATGAGACATTCGTTTTAGTATGTCAACAATTATCTTATCATTATACTGTTCCTTGGGAGAGCTCTGGGGATATTTATGTCCAAATTTGATTACTGATAACTGATAAGCACCACCACAAGTATAACCAAGCGTAATGTACACAACAAAAGGTCCCATGAGCAAATCATAGAATTAACAACTTAATGAGCTCAAGATATTACACTGGTTGAGATGCAGCAAGAGACACTTCACCATGTGAATACAGATATAGGTAAGCTGTCATACTTGTTGGAACAACTAAAGTCAGCCAAGTAGCACACTGCCAATGGAGGAAAATAAGTGTACTTAAGCAGAATGATATGCCAGAGTACATGTAATATGAACAATTATACAATATTATGTCAGCATAAAAGAAATGGACAGGACAACAACAAGATACAGTTTAAAGAAAAGAGAGCCAAGTTCAAAACACCAGCCCGTCAGTACTCGACTGCAGAAATAATTCCCCTGGCAACACATGTTCTCCAGACACTAAAGTACGGATCATATATATTACTTGCATATAAAAGCAAGATAAACATGGTTGCTTTAGAAATGTTATGTACAGTTGTACTAGAAAAATATAATGGACTGGGAACTAAAAGAATTGTTGAGAGCTTTGCCACCATCGGTAAAATTCAGGCTACCGTAACAACCATATGCCGCAGACATTGCATTGCAATACTCCATAAAGCTTATAGGCTATGGATAGGCATGTCAGTGTAAATGTATTCAAACAAGAGATCAAATGGATATCGCAAACAAGATAAATAGGCATACCCTCCATATTTCTCGGTGTGATAAATGTGTCTGCGAAAGATCAAACACCTTCGCATAATTTACTGATGATTGTGCGAAAACCCACAAATTTACTCCCCATAACCAAATCATCAGTGCCTACAATAGGAACACAAAGCACAATTACATGCATGAGTAAATTTTCTGCATAGGCGGTTACTAAGAGTTGAGTATGCCACAAGTGCAACAACAAAAAGAAACTCACCACCAGAAGAAGAGGATTATAGTATAAGAAAGCCTCGTATAGAAATAAGTCTCGCAGATCAACACTCATTCTCATAACTGAGTCCCACCCTATCTGCAGTTCCAAGAGCATAATCAATTAACAATTACATGAAGCTCAATTCATACAGTACAAAAGTGATTAATAGAGCAACACTGACCTTGCAACAGCACAAGCCCCATAGGAGAAACAATATAACCTGGAAAAGGGACACACTCATAAGCAATTTGAGAAGTAAAATGTAGATCTGGCAGATGAGAAATCAAGAGAACAGGGTAATTTGAGTACAATTGGTTAGTGGTTACAGCAAAAAAAGAACCAATAAAATACATGATGCCACAGAATAGAATTAGATATGGACAGGTAAATATGTTAGTGTCTCTTGGAGGAAATTACAGGGTAAATCAGTAAAAAAAGCAGCAGCTCCAACTGAAAATGGCGATGCTAAAAGGCCGCTTCATCTTTTGTGACTAAGCTAGAAGGCTTCTCCTAGGCATGTACTGCGAAAATATCGAGACGCTAACACCATAGTAGTGTTCAGGTGTTCTACTGTTCCAAGTATCGTGGAAAACAAAGACGTATCCTAGAGTAGCAGAGATTTAGACATGGCATGATTTTTTGTCGCTATTACAAAGTTTATGCAATGAGGGGGGCATCAGATTCGTTGGCTTATCACTTAATTTCCTTACAAACATGGCATCCGCTGCAGACAATGCGCATAACGGCGGCCGCACGGAGCACACTTACTACACATCAGAAAGTACATTAAGCATGTAGCGCCCGTGGAAATGCTGCGAAGGCTACCTTGACCCGCCAGAGGAAGAGCGGCGAAGGGATGATCGCCACGGCGGGGATGGCCGACACGCCCTTCATCTCGGCGCCGACCCTGACCCTCCGCGCGCGCACTCGGTCGCACAGGCGCCTGCGTCTTCGAACGAACCCTGCGCACGGCAGCAGAATCAGAATCGGCCTCGCCGCTGCATCAGCGCGACAGCAGTCTGGCAGGCGACGGGGTCCATGGTCCACGAGAGCCGAAGCTGACCGGATCGAGCAGAGGCGCTCACCGAGGATCGACAGCCCGTATCGCGGCCGGTGGGGGCGGCAGGGGAGAGAGGAGCCGTGCCGTCCGTCGGATAGGCGCAGGCCCCTCCGGCTCTCCGGGGAGGCTGTGGGAGAGGCGGAAACCTTCCGCCGGAACGGGGCGCGCGGGCGGGCGGCCGGCGGCGTGGCAGGGAATGGCGAGATCTGCGAGGGTGGGCAGGGGTGAAGACTGAAGAGGGGGAGGAGAAGCCGTAGGAAGGGGAGAAAGGGGGACGCGGAAGGTGAGGGAGGGAGGCGCCGACTTGGAGTTTGACGTGTAGGCGAACCACGGGGGAGCTCTGAATTTTCTATCGACTTTAGTACTGGTGGTGGTGGTAGTAGAGGAGTGCTTTATTCCGTGATGATCTGTTGCTGTTCTTTGGACGCGGTGCTTCTGGTCACGAGCACACATGTGCTCGTTATCTGGGCCGCTGTTTTGCGTCTCTGGATGCGATGCATTTAAGGCATGTTTGGTTATCTGGGTGGCTTTAGCCTGCATCGCATGAGGGATTCTGGGTGAGCGTGGTCTGGTTGAGCTGATGCAGAAATTGGTTGAGATGTATGTTTGGTGCACTGTATAATATTGTTGCATGAGAGATGCTATATACAATAGATGTTGTTTGGTAGACTGCATTTGAGCTTAATTTTGTGAACCTTTCTCTTCCAATTTCAACAATGTCAATTGGATCTGGATCATTCCATGGAACATGTAAAAGAAGGCTGAACTGAAATCTGAACTAAACTCAGGGGGAGAGAGGGGGAGAAACGCGGCGCCGGTTGCGCCTCGCAGCGCGCAGGTGCTCCCCTCTCCCCTTCTTCCTCTGGATCTGTGGTGGACGGCGTGTCCCCCGGCGTGAGCATGGAGGAGCACCAGCGAGGGAACTCGACCGGCGATGGGCGGCGTGTCCCCCGGCGTGGGCGTGGAGGAGCGCTGGCTAGGGAGCCCGGACTGGTGGGGGACGACGTGCCCCCGGCGTGGGCATAGAGGAGCACCGGCAACGGAGCTCGCCCGGCGGTGGGCGGCGTGTCCCCCGGCATGGGCGTGGAGGAGCGCTGGCTAGGGAGCCCGGACCGGTGGCGGACGGCGTGGGCATGGAGGAGCACCAGCAACGGAGCTCGGTCGGCGTCGGGCGACGTGTCCCTCGGCGTGGACATGGAGGAGTGCCTACTAGAGAGCCCGGACTGCTGTGGACGAGGGAGCTCAGGCGGCGGCGGCGGCAATGGGTTACTCGATTCAATCTGATGTGTGAGAGAGGAGGAAAGGGAGACACGGGATGAGAGTTGCGGTTGCAGGTGCGAGCCTGGCTCGGAGATACGGCCGATTCCTGCGTGCCCCTCAGCCTGGCTGAGAGGCCTCCTTTTGCATCGATTGGGCCAGGCTGAGGAGGCCACACATGCCACCAAACGCACTAGATTTTGCATGGCGGGTGCGAGGCAGGTGCCACACAAGAAACCAAACACGTCCTTAATGTATGTGCCACATACGCGAGCGTTTGTAACGAAGCAAAATAGCAAACGAAGAAATACGTCTGGGCTTGTGGTCCTGGAAGTAGACGGAGGAGAAGCGGTCGTGTACGACAAACTAGTCGAGGCGTGGCCCAGGATGAGTCAATGAGTGGTAAGCATGAGAGTTTCAAGAGATAGAATTGATGTAGTTGTTTGGTAGCTTAATATGAAATGGAAATCTGGCTCTTCTCCCCCAAAGGCCCCACCGTGGACGGCATTTGGAAGCGGAGGAGTGAGAAAGAGGGATAGGAAGCAGAGGCGGCCGCCAGCGATGAAGTTCCTAATGCAACTAATCAATCAGGAGGTATGTCGATTCGTAAGTATATCGTGATCTTTTTCTGTTTTGCACGCGCAGAAGGGGCAACTCGCTGCAGGTGTCGTGGCTGTGTATAGGTAAGGTCAACCCTCAAGGTCCATCGTGGGCTAAGAGGTTAGTGCGCAACATACTAACATTAATAGAGATGTAAAAATCGTAGGTGATAATTGGTATATAGTACATTTGTAGAAATTTGGTCCCTGTTCAGATAATTTGGATAGAGTCTGGTAGTCGCAAGGAAGTAATTAAGATTGTTCTTCCACAGTGCATTATTGATGAAAACTACTTGGTTGTCAATTATGTTGTAAATTCTGATTAGCAGCTTAATAGGGTGGTGAGTAGGAACTTTGCATTTAAGAAATGATCACTAGTAGTGATCTAAAAAGATCTTTTAGTAGTGATCTCAAAAGATCTTTTAGATCACTCTAGTGATCTAAAAGATCTTATATTTACAGAGGAAGTACTGATGTACCACAAATGCAGGTCTGCAGATTTGGCAGATGTTTTAAGTTTAATAGAACAGAACAAGGTGCTAGTCAAAACATTTTTTTTCTGGTCTAGCAGCTAAATAGTTTGGTGAGTAGAAGTGTGGGCTCACAAGATACTGGTTCCTTGAGGGAATATTTGCAGAGGCATTTTAAAAAATTGGATGCTTAGGAGTACATTTTTTGTAAACATGATTTGCAGAACCTGCAGTTTTTTGCTGTCTGTTTGAAGCGAACTCGTCGTTCAATCTGTCTTAGCCATTTCCATCACCTTATCAATTTTGTTATGAAATGAATCATGAGTAGCATGCCTTTTCTCTTCTTCCCAGATTGTTTTCTGTCACACTAAGCATGATTTTTTATGTTTGTTTGAAGCAGAGGGCCTGATGCAAAACTGTATCATATTTTTACAGATTTTGGCTGCTTTGCTTACAAAGTTAATATTTGAATCTTTTGATTTTTTAGCAGATTATTTGGTTGAATCGAACGTCCCATACGTCACATCGTCACATGTTGTTCTAGCTTATTTGAAGCTTTAGATTTTTGTTCATATATGGATCTTGGACTTCAAACCAAATCTGGATTTGGTGACTTTATAACCATTGCAACCCTGTTTCTGGTTTATCCCTTTATGTTGGGTATGGACAGTGTCGGAGCTAGCGGAGA